GTATATCAGTAACCGTATTCGATTTTAGTGGATATGATTATAATTTTTTTCTTACAGAGGTATATCTGTATCTGTATCCATATTCGAGATGGGTAAGCGGATATGGATATGATAAGCATTATATTCGAGCTGTATCCGGACCGAATACACCCCTAGCCCGAAGAATCCGAATCTGAAATGTTGTCACTAGCCTTGGCAACATTCAACTCTGAAACTTGAATAGCTTTCCCCTTATTCTTCCCGACTTGCAATTTTGGACATTCAGCTTTCTAATATCCACCCTCTCTACAAAAGGCACACTGATTCCTACCAACTATAGGATGTGCCCCTCTAGACTGCAACCTTCTACCACGGTTTGGACTCTTAGCTCTTGCGACCAATGCCCCTGCTACCGGCTCAATGGAAGTCTCTTTGTCCTTCTTACGAAGTTGATAATTCACAAGTGCCGCGGTGACCTCACTATACGAAAGAGATGTCTTCCCATTAATAAGAGTAAGGACGAAGGTTTTATATTCCTCGTCGGGCAAGGAACTCAACAATAGCAACGCCTTATCCCCATCTTTAACCATGACATCTACATTCGTCAAATCCGCAAGAAGCTTCATGTAGTGGTCCATGTGATCACTAATGGATGTCCTCTTCTTCAATTGGAAGCGATAAAGCCTCCTCTTCAAATGTAAGTGATTTTCCGCTCTTCGTCAAATACTTGCTCTCTAGGACCTCCCAAATCTTCTTTGCCGAAGTCTCATTTATCATATCATATTTTAGATTTTGAGTAAAACAAGACCTAATCACACCACACGTCGTTCTATTCATTTTCTTCCAAACCTTCTCATTAATGTCGTCTGGTTTCCCGTCCAACTCCAACGTTTCTTTCAAATTTTGAGCATTTAGCGCATCTAAGACTTCGCATCTCCAAAGTCCAAAATTATTTGTGCCATCGAACTTCTCCACATCTATCTTCATAGAATGGATACTCAAACTTTGGACGATCTTCACACTAGAAGAACCCTCCCCAACTTTATCTTTCCCGGCCATATATCTCAAGGCACCCAATAACAATTGAGGAACAAACAAGAAATAGATCCAACTTGAAAAGATAAAAATTTTACCACAAAGATCTCACCTTTAACACCAACCGAAGCTCTAGATGAACTTCCCAACTGATCTACTCCTCCAAAAAAGCCTAAGCGTTGTCCGGAGCTCTGATACCACTTGTTGGGGAAACCCCGATGCCGAGATCCAATACCAAATAGCCGAGAGAGAATAGCAAACACACCAAATCAATGCCACAAACAAGATACACCAGTTTTAACGTGGTTCAGCGAATGCCTACGTCCACGGGATAAGGAAGGGGCAGTTTTTACTATTAGAAATCAAGGGGATATAACTAGGGTTATAAATCTCACCAAAACTCTTAACAAATCACTCTTGATCTCTCCCAAATGCTCCAACAATAGAAGCCCACAAAACCCCTCTCAATGGCTGCTAAAACCCTCTTGCCTTAACCCTAAAAACGAGTTAAGGGTATATATACAACGTCGATCGTGATGATCGACCGTGCAGGTATCGCGGTCGACTGCCACGGTCGACCGCATCAACTCCAGAGACTTCCCAAGACAGCAGAAACTTTCGCGGTCGACCGCCACGGTCGATCGCCAGAGATCCAGAGGCACAGTGAGGTCTGTGCACGACTTTGGTCGACCGCAAAGACCAACGGTCGACCACCAACCTGTCAAACTGAGTTCCTGAGCCCAAACCTGCTATTCTTGCCAATCCTACAGTAAACCATTTTGTCCTATATCAATCAAGTAAAAAAGGTTAGCCAAACTAATGCATTGAAGGACAAAAGAGATTTTTAAGTCTCTCACGGTAGCATAAATCTTATCATGGTAGCACTCTGCAATTGATCTACAGGTAGTAGCCTCATCTATTAGTGTTTGTTTTCTTCATCGCATCTCTCTCTAGAAGATAATGCGAATTAACTCAATGGGATATATATAAACTAATAAAAGACTTCCCTCAACATAGTGCAAGTACTATTTTCATCATTGCCTTTCTCTTTAAAAGTTGAATAAATTAGAGTAAACACAAACTTAAAATGGATCAACTTTTGTAGTGTAAGAATTGAAAAAAAAAAAAAAACTGGTCCAAAGTTTAAGGTGCAATTAGAATCATTACATCTTTTAGGGAGAGTGGGACAGTATTCATGCATGTTAAAGTGGTGACCACATCACATGGATGGTTAGAAAAGCCATTGATGTGCAATTAAACTTTTCTTTCAGAACAAAGTATCAAAGGGAGGAAGGGAGCTTAGGGATTGTCTAAAGGTTGAGGATGATGCATTGAATATCCCCTTGCCAGCTTTTAGAAAGGAGAGGAGGAGGAGCAGACATGTGACCTGCAGTCTGCAGAGGTTTAGAGAGTGGAAAACATATAATACCATTTGCCTGCTCAAAAAGACTGATATAGCCACCCTTTTGCTTTTCATCTTTATTCCTTACCTTACACAAGCAGACAAAACCAAAAGCCTCTGAGCTCTATTTACAGGTCCTCCACTTCTTTATCTCAATGTCTTTGGCACCACAATTCCACAAACCCAACCTCTCAATTTTTTTTGGGTTTGCTAAAAAAAAAACGAGAAAACCCTCCCGTCACGTCAGATTTCAAGAAATCCCGCTTTGCCATGTAGGATTTTGGTTTTAACCGATTTTCAAATCACATGTTTGTTTCGTTTTGTGATTTAAAAAAATAAGGGTGTCACGTAGGATGTCATGTCGGACTTTTGAGAAAAGTGTTTTCACACCAAAAACCTCTGAAAACACTTGGAAATGTCACTTCAATGAATTTTTAATTACTAAAAGCACTGTTAAAACAGTGACTATGAATAAAACAGCTTATTTAGTTGCTAAAAACACTGTTACTATTGCGGCTGATTTCCATTTCCTTTTTTTATGTTCAAACAAACGCAAGAAATAGAAATCGAAATACTGTTACTATTGCGGCTGGATTTGTTTCTTATGTGACGTGGCGGTGACGTGATGGTGATTTCGTTGGGAAACAAACAAAAAAATACGGGAAATGTCATGAAATCTTTTGAAATGAGTTGAAATGTGAGAGTTTCCATTTTCGATTTTTTTTCCGTAAAACAACCAAACAGCCCCCAAGTAGAAAGAGGTCTACACCTATGATTTATTGATAGTATATAAAATAACTATTACTTTTAGAGATAAGAATTCATAGGATAAGGGTGGAGGAATAAGAATAAACCACAAATCTATGTGGGGGTCTTCTTCTTCTATGCAACAACAAATTAATAACCAAACCATAACTTCAGCATATGCGAAGCCTCGCTCCTTATACATCTTCTTCAATCTGGCTGTCTGAGTTGAGAACACGCTGATTATGTTCTTTCAAACAGACCAACAAATTGCGACGATCGCAATATTGTTCCGTTCGTTTCTTCCGTTACTAGGGATTGCATTCAACAGCCAAGAAAGTTATTGTCTCCTTCAAATATTACTCTCTAACTACAAACCAATTATTTCTCCTACTGGACTAAGGCTAAAGAATGATTAGATAGAAGCAACAATTGCAGTTGCTAAGCTCAGGAAAGTGTGCGGCGTCAGTAACAACCTCAAGAGATCCACACAAATGCTTCAACGACCGATGAAACATGGTTGACAGATTTTGCCTATTTTTCACATCGACCGCCAAGTTGAACACCTACTCTATAAGATCTTCAATTTACAGATTTTACATGCGAAACCGCGGTCCTCGAAATGACATTCAGGAGACGAAAAATAGCATTGTTCATATCTTTTGCTATTTTACAGTGAATGACTTAAATGATAAAAATCGCCAGCGTTCTAAGACTCATTCTACCCACCCATGCACGTACTCGCACTCAAGCTCAGACCATCTTGAGTACGTAGGCTGAAAATGCTCATGATCTTGAGTGGGCTAAGAATGCTCGATTATGCGGTCAAATGCATAATTGGGATTCCCAGCATTACGCACCCGCATAAAAAAAAATCACCGATGGTTCTATGAATATATTCAGAAGGACAACACAACTGAACAGATTATATTTCAATTTAAAGCTCTTGTTTCAATTTATATTTTATACGGTAGAAGCAACGGTAACTTAAAATGCATATACTGTTAAAAAGAGTGACCGTCATATGACCTTGAGTGTTTGCATGCCTTCGGGGAAATGGTTTTAGATAGGGGAAATTTTCTGAGTTCACTAATAGTCCCGTATGTTTTCGGAGTTCATCTTAATGTTTTGTGAAATTTTCTGAGTTCACTAATCCGTGATTAAAACATACGAGACTACTAGTCCCATACGTTTTCTGAGCTGTTTTGTAAAATAAACATCTTTTGGCCTGTTGGCCAAAAAGATGTCTATTTTGCTAATTATTTAGCAAAACGTCCTATTTTGCTAAATAATTAGCAAAAACGGACTATTTTGCAAATATTCCCTTTTAGATAGACATTAATTGATTATTGGTCCTTCCATCTCTTCACTGCACACCACGCCCTGAGGTTGTTGTATAGATCATTCTTATTTGTTCCTGAAAGGTCAGCGCAAAGAAATTATTAAGCATTCGCAACCTCCGACTAATCTCTATCGTACCTTCCCACAAAAGCGCCCCTCAAATGCAGCGAACATGTTAGATTAATCATTCGCCAAGGACAATAAGACGTTTGATATAAGCAAATGGCGGTAAGACGACGCTCGACGAAAACTAAGTTCCATGGAAGAGTGCGGAAAGACTATAATGTCCATTTCACGAAGGCTCCCAATCCGATGTACCGTAAGTAAATTGGAACGATGCTAATTGGCAAACACAAGAGAATTGAAGTAGGATGCTAAAAGAATCCTACTTCCACCGAATTAAACTTACCCAACTTCATTGCGGGTGAGCCTCAGAACAATAAAGAAGTTGTAGATTAAGCATCTCTGTTACTTACTGGTTCTACTTATAATGCGCAAATTAAGGACAAAGCTATTTCTTCAAGCATGCAAGAGATTTAGGTAAATTGTGTCGGCTCACATCTATAACATGAAATTGAATCAGAACACTAGTTCCTTTGGCGATCCTATTAACCTATACGCGAATACACATGCTCAGACGTGTAACTAATTTTCCATGGGAAATTCCGCACCGACATTCATACTAAACATCGGGTTACAAATTAACCTGTACTGTTTCCATGTAAGCTTTCGAGCGCCCCGCACCAGTTTCAGTCCTTTGCATCAGCAATTCCACCAGGGGTTATCTGAAAAACTTGATCCCTTTCCGTCAAGGCGCACACTAACCAGAAAAAGGAAATAAAACCGGATTTTTCAAGCAACAATAAAGAAACTGTAGAAGTTATAACGGTTCGAAAGGATATTGCTTCAGACTCAGGAAGGTTAGGGGCATCGAATATCTTGCAGACTCGCTGTTCTCCTTTGCCTTTCCTGAGCATCAGGCGAACAGTAGAGGCATGCGCCATCACATGCCCGCCAGCGGGTTTTTTGGGATCAGAGATGAACACCCCTCCTCCGGGATCAGCGATCACTGCAAAACAATAGTACTAGTTATCAGAATCTCCTTTCTCTTAAGGTTAACTTGCACATAACCTCCCTCATCTATACGTTCAGTTGAACTAAACTCCCCTCAACTCATTTACTAAAACTTAATAAAACCCCTCTTTAGGATGAATTGAAGGGGCTAAAGTCTTAATAACTGAGTTGAGGGGGATTTCGTGCAACTGAAGACACAGATAAGTAGATTTACGTGCAATGTGCCCTTCTTTTTACGTGAATTTATCTGAACCTAGTTGCTTACAGCGAGAAAGTATTTATGCCAACTTTTTAGGTATAACAGACCGAAAATAGAACAAGTTAAATTTGGATTAAGACAGATACCATGGTTTGTCATGAAGACTGCAACATTGAATTCCTCTGCGATTTTTATCAGGCGAGAAAGCATTTGTGCCAACTTTTGCTGCAATGGGAAAGAGGATGCACATTTCAGAAAAAAAACCAGGATGAAGCATTAGAGAATCTGCTAAAAGTTCTTAGTCATTAAAAAAACAAAATAAGTGTTGAGATCCCTCCTTAATTGAGAAGATTCTAGAAAATTCTAGAACTTTCTGGAGAACTCTAGAGAAGTGTAGAATTCTCTAGAAGCGTGTTCTCCCCCCGACATCACCCGTCTCTTCTACGTTGTCGTCGTCATCCCCCTACACCCCAATCTTCAGCACGTTTGCCTATAAACCGACCGCAAACACTATCATCGCCTTCTAATCCCTTGGCAAGATCAAGCCCCACGAGCCCCCATTCCATGAGGACCTATCCCGCCTCCATTGAAGCATTCATGTTGTTATTTTATGGGCTCCAAAATATTACTGTTGGGGGGAAGAAGGTGTTGAGATCCCTCCTTAATTGGGAAGATTCTAGAAAATTCTAGAACTTTCTGGAGAACTCTAGAGAAGTGTAGAATTCTCTAGAAGCGTGTGGAATCCTCTAGAATATTCTAGAGATGTGTGAAGCCTTCTGGAACATTCTGAAAGAGTATGGAATAGAATGGAAGAATGTAGAGATTCATTAGAAATCTCTAGAAAGTAAAGATATGTGTGGAGAATTCTAGAAAGCTAATCTCCACCATTGGATCAAATTAATCCCCACCACTCATTATGCTGGTGGAGTAGTATAAATAGGGGTGGAAGCCTTCTTTCCTATCCATCAAAAACAAGAAAACAATCCACTTCCTAGAGTGAGAGAAAACCTCTAATATAGAGAGTTAGAGAGCCTCTTTGAGAGAGAAGTGAGATAGCTTGAGAGTCCTAATCCTCGAGCTCAAGTGAGCCACCGAGGTGAGACAGTTTTGTAAAATATAAATTTTTGTAATCCTACTATTCTTTTGTATAGTGGAAGAACCTCCATATTGGAGGAATATAAACTTTTGTGCTCCTATTACTATCTTAATTTATAAGTGTCTATCTTAACTTCACGAGGCGGGAAAAATCGAGTTTTCCCAATGATGGTATCAAAGCCAAGTTCGTCCGAAGTCATCGTTAGCTCGTGAAGTTCAAGATGGAGGATAACTTCACTCACGATGGAGACATGTTAAAGCTCACGGCCAACAACTCCTCATACTAGAAGCCGATGATGGAGGATCATCTATATTGTAAGAATTACATGAGCCCATCATCCACAAAACCAAGGTAGAAGAAAAGAGCAATGCAAAGTGAGAAATGCTAAATCGGAAGGCCGTTGCTATGATTCGTAAGTATATTAATAAAACTCTCTTTGAACATGTTTCTACTTATACAAATGCTTATGAATTATGGACAAAGCTTGAGTCCATGATTCAAAAGAAAACACCTCATAATAAAGCTCATTTAGTTCGACGATTGGCGAAGTTGAAGTATATGGATAGTCAAAGTATGATTGAGCACTTGAATAATTTCAAGGGGCTCGTAAATCAACTAACGAAAATTGACATGAAGATTGATGATGAGTTGCAAGCCCTTCTACTCCTTAGTTCCCTGCCAGAAAGTTGGGATACTCTTGTGATTACACTTAGTAACTCAGCTCCGGAAGGAAAGCTCACCATGGATACCGTTAGTGATAGCCTTCTCGGTGAAGAAGCAAAGAGAATGATATGAGGTGAGCCTGTCCATCCCGAGACAAATGTTGTTGAGAACCGGGGTGGGAATGAAGGTCGTGGACGCAGCAAGAGTCGAGATCCGCACCAATCTTGAGGTCGGTTCAAATCACGCTCAAAGATTACATGCTACTACTGTGGAAGGATAGGCCATAAGAAAGTAGAGTGTTGATCCCTATGAAGCACGGACACGCATAACATGAAGCCGTGTCGTGTCGTGTTCGTCTCGGACACACGTGTCGAACACACGTATTCTATGTATTTTTTAGGATTTACCTCGTGTCGGCGTGTCGGATGGCCGTGTCAGATCCGTGTCCGTGCTACATAGGTTGATCCTTCAAGAGATATCAAAAGGCCGGTAATGTTAAGCCAGACCAAATCAACCTAACGAATAACCAAGAAGAGAATAGCACTATTACCGTGGCTGCAAAAGAAGAATTGTTTTATCTCGTTAGAGAAGATAACATCCTAAATATTTCTTATGATGATAGTTGTTGGATTATCTATTCTGGTGCTTCCTTCCATATCACTCCCCATGGAAGTTTCTTCTCATCCTACCACAGTGGTGACTTTGGTACTGTGCAAATGGGAAATCAAGATAGGAACAAAATTATCGGGATAGAAGACATCATCCTGACAACAAGCACTGGATGCAAGCTTGTCCTAAAAGATGTGAGGCACATCCCAGCCATGCGTCTCAATCTTATCTCTGCTGGAAAGCTAGATGATGTCGGTCTGGTGAATTATTTTGGAAAAGAAAAGTGGAAGCTCACCAAAAAAAAATTAATCATGGCTCAAGGAAAGAAGGAAGGATCATTGTACGTGATGCAAGCTAAACTCTGTAAATGGGAGGTAAATACCACCACCGATGATATGAAGATATGGCATAAATGACTCGGGCACATTAGCGAGAAAGGCCTTCACATGCTCCCTCGAAAGAAACTCCTCCCTGACGTAAAAGGTAAATCACTTGACCTATGTGCTGATTGTTTGGCTGGAAAACAACATAGAGTTGCTTTCCAAAGATCCTCCCCATCCACAAGGAGAAAGAACATTCTAGACCTCGTACACACCGACGTGTGCTCGATGTCTGAGAAATCCATTGGTGGGGCATTGCATTTTGTCACCTTCCACCTTCATCAATGACCATTCAAGAAAGGTGTGGTTACACCTGTTTAAATCAAAGGATCAAGTACTTGATGCATTCAAGGAGTTCCATGCCCGAGTGGAACATGAGACAGGACGGAAGATCAAGTGTGTGCGATCAAACAATGAAGGTGGGTATAGAGGTCCTTTCGAAACCTATTGCAAGAAATATGAGATTAGGTTGGAGAAGACTCCACCCAAGACGTCACAGTTGAATGGACTAGCGGAGAGAATGAACCGAACTATTGAAGAAAGAGTTCAATATGTACTCTCTCATGCCAAGTTGCCCAAATCATTCTGTGGAGAAGCTGTGATGACCGTTGTTGACATAGTCAACCTCACACCATCAGTTCCTTTGGACGGAAACATCCCCAGAGGAGGTTTGGTCAGGCAAAGAGCTTCTTACAACCATCTCAAGGTGTTCGGATGCAGAGCATTTGTTCACATCCCCAAAGACGAGCGAGCCAAACTCAATGGAAAAACTAAGGAATGCATCTATCTTCGTTATCCTAAGGATGAGTTCGGGTACCGATTTTGGGATCCAATCAACAAGAAGATCATCCGAAGCCGAGGCATTGTATTCTTCGAAGATCATACAATTGAAGACATCCAGAAATCGGAGAGGCCAAGATTGAGAAGCAGCAAGAGCATAGACCTTACACCGGTCCGACGTGAGGATAATGTCACACCTGAAAACAATGATGCTGAAGATCATGAGCCTATCCTAGAGCAAAACAACCAGAAGACTCATGATGAGCCAGTTCAGGAAGAACCTCGGTCTAGCTTTCCACTAACGCTCTAGTTGAGACGATCTTCAAGGGATCGAAGGTCATCTTCCCGATATAGCACAGAGGAGTTTGCGATGCTCACCGATGAGGGGGAGCTTCAAAGTTATAAGGAGGCCATAACTAACAGTCATAAAGTGGAGTGAATAAGAGCCATGCAAGAGGAGATGCAATCCTTACACAAGAATAACACTTATGAACTAATGGAACTACCAAAAGGGAGACGAGTCTTGAGGAATAAGTGGGTGTATCGAATCAAGGCCGAAGACAGTAGCTCCAAGCCCCGCTACAAAGCTCAGTTGGTCATAAAAGGATTCGGTCAAGAAAAAGGCATTAACTTTGAAGAAATATTCTCTTCAGTGGTAAAGATGTCATCCATCCAAGTTGTTCTTAGCTTAGCAGCAGTGCAAGACCTAGAGATCGAGCAGCTCGATGTCAAAACAACATTCCTTCATGGTGATCTAGAGGAAGAGATCTACATGAAGCAGCCTGAGGGGTCTAAAGTTCCAGGCAAAGAAAATTTGGTGTACCGCCTAACGAAGAGTTTATATGGTCTTAAGCAAACACCTAGGCAACGATACAAGAAGTTCGACTCTTTCATAGAAAAACATGATTTCAAAAGGAAGGAGAGCGATCATTGTGTCTTCATAAAGAGGTATGCAGGTGGTGATTTTCTCATACTTCCACTCTATGTTGATGATATGTTGATTGTTGGACAAGATCGCATAAAAATAACTACTTTGAAGAAAGATCTAAGCAAGAGCTTTGCCATGAAAGATTTAGGACTAGCTAGACAAATCTTTGGGATGGGGATCACTCCTGATAGATCAAAAGAGTTGCTATGGCTATCCCAAGAGAGGTACATTTAGAAGGTGCTAGAAAGATTCAACATGCACAAAGCAAAGCCGGTCAACACACTGCTTGCTGGACACTTCAAGATGAGCTCGAAGCAAAGTCCCACAAGTAAGAAAGAAATGGAGGAAATGAAGATGATTTCATATTCATCTGTAGCAGTCAGTCTCATGTATGCAATGATATGCACAAGACCCGATATCGCCTATGCAGTTGGTGTTGTTAGTCGTTTCTTGGCTAATCCGAGGAAGGAACACTGAGTTGCAGTCAAATGGATCATTCGGTATCTACGCGGCACTTCCAAGAAGTATTTATGCTTTGGAAATGGAAGACATGTGCTAGAAGGATACATAGATACAGACTTGGCCGGTGACATTGATTCTAGGAAATCAACATTAGGATTCCTAACTACTTTTGCAGTTGGAGCTGTTTCCTGGCAATCAAAGTTACAACGTGTGTTGCATTGTCCACTACTAAGGCAGAGTACATCGCAGCTACTGAAGCTTGCAAGGAGATGCTGTGGATGAAGAATTTGTTGCTTGAGCTGGGAGTAGATCAAGACAGGTATGTCTTGAAGTGTCACAACCAAAGTACAATTTACTTAGCAAAGAATTCAACTTTTCATTCCCGCACAAAGCACATTGATACACGATATCACTGAATCCGAGGAGCTCTCGAAGAAAAGCACATACATCTTGACAAGGTTCACACAGATGAAAACTGGTTAGACATGATGACTAAGGTAATATCATCCAAGAAGTTTGAAGATTGTTGTCAACGTGCTGGTTTGCTACTACCTCCTAATTAAGTCAAGAGGGGGAGATTTGTTGGGATCCCTTCTTAATTGGGAAGATTCTAGAAAATTCCAGAACTTTCTGGAGAACTCTAGAGAAGTGTAGAATTCTCTAGAAGCGTGTGGAATCCTCTAGAATATTCTAGAGATGTGGGGAGCCTTCTGGAATAGAATGGAGGAGTGTAGAGATTCCTTAGAAATCTCTAGAAAGTAAAGATGTGTGAAGAATTCTAGAGAGCTAATCTTCACCCTTAGATCAAATTAATCCCCACCACTCATTATGATGGTGGAATAGTATAAATAGGGGTGGAAGCTTTCATTCCTATCCATCCAAGACAAGAAAACAATCCACTTCCTAGAGTGAGAGAAAACCTCTAATATAGAGAGTTAGAGAGTCTCTTTGAGAGAGAAGTAAAATAGCTTCAGAGTTCTAATCCTCAAGCTCGAGTGAGCAACCGAAGTGAGATAATTTTGTAAAATATAAATTCTTGTAATCCTACTATTTTTTGTGTAGTGGAAGAACCTCCATATTGGAGGACCATAAACTCTTGTGTTCTAATTACTATCTTAATTTATAAGTGTCTATCTTAACTTCATGAGGCGGGAAAGACCGAGTTTTCCCAACAATAAGAAGCTAAACTCAGCTTATATTTATAAGTAACAACTAGAAAAAATTTCAGAACACTCCCCCAAATTTTGAGGTGGTTTGCACAGAACAATATTGAATTTTAAAAATTAGAGAAGACACCACAACTTGGGGGGTTTTACAAAACGACCTGAGCTTTCCAAAAGTTTAATCAAAATATGGGGCAACATGAAGAGAGAATAAAGGAAAACATGAAAAGGATGGGGAGGGAGATTGTTTTATGGTTTTATTGAGAGAGGTGGAGGTTATTTTGTAGAAGTGGTATTTCAGTAAGTGGAAATTTTTCGAAAGCTCGTAAGGGCTTTGTGAAATTCCCAAAAGTTTAGGGGATTTCTCTAATTTTCAAAGTTCATGGCCTTTCGTGCAATTGACCCAAAAGTTCAGGGGGTTTTCTTTTCTGAAATTTACCCTAACATTCAGATTATAGAATTTACTGATCTACCTCTCTCCCTTGAAGTTTGAACCCTAATGTAGATGCGTTTATCGTTTAACCCTCACCAAACCACATCACATGTTGAAATGTTTGAAAGAGCATAAGAACTCTGGATTCTTTCACCTTGAAGAAACTGTAAAACTATCTTATTATACAGGTTTATTTCTGATTCAAATTTAGTTTATAATTAAGGTTCAATTACATGTGCAGGACACATTAGTTTAGCTTTTAGATTGATCGCTTATTACTTAGTAGGAGATATAATAATCAGAGAAAATAAATACCTGGCGGTCTGCAAGTTCTCCCCTTCCGCAGAAATCCACTCTGAATAGAGCAATGATCGAGTCCACAATCTGAAAATGAAATCAGGGAGCCATCCAGACCTTAATATAATCTTCCAATGGAACTTAAATTATACACAGCATTAACATTTAAGAAGTTGTTTACCAGGAGCCTGAATGGTTCTTCAGACATTTTTGCAGCAAGTCCTAACAGCAAATTGTACTGGTGTTCATATGTGTATGCCCGCGCATATATAATCTTCCCCCATGAAAGTACCACAAAATCACATGATTCTTTCCAATGAACTTTTAGAAAATGAAGAAATAAACCTAGGTCTTACGTTGTCAAGAACAGCGTTAGCATCCATCCCAAATCGCTCAGCAATAGGAACAATCCTTTCAGGCCGGCTAAGAAATGTAATTAAGGCCAGCTGCAAGTGTACTTTAATACATTGCCCCTGAATACTGTTATACATAATTATGAGAAGGTTAAGGATACAATGTTCCTTCGGTATCAATGTAAGCAACTTTCCCATTGCCTCCGTGCATAGAGATTGGAAGCTGCAGAACAAGTAGGCATTCAGATGGAGTTTACATGATTCTATGCCTTGTGAATTTCAGGCGCCATATAAAGTGATGAACCTGTGTTGAGACGCAGAGAGTATGAGCCAGCTGGGTCTTTCCTGAGCTGCAATGTCCCAAGTTTTTTTTTTTAAACATCACTCAACAGTGTGGTTACTGTTAATTGATTGAACAAGTGAAGTATCTAACCGAAATTCTCCAAATGCTTCAGTGATTTGAAGTGTCTCAATTCCACCTTCACAATTTTAAAGGGAATTCAATTAGCATATACGATTCATATATTTACGATGTGGGGTCCATATAAGTACATAGCTCGTCAAAAAAATCTATTCAAATCATGGGAATAAAATTTTATGCAGAGAATCTCAGTCCGATGGTAAATCCATTGATTCCTTATTAAAAGGCCAAACTAACGATTTTACCGCCAAGAAGTTCATCAAGAGCATTGCTGCCTGTGGTGATTTTAATCACTGCTTTCCGCTGTAGAGGAGAAATGATACATGATAATAAGTAAACGACTGAAAGTTAAATCCAACATTTTGTCTCAATACATTGAAAAGATTAGAACAAAGAAATTGTATCAACAGTCAGCTATTCAAGAAATCTCTATTGTCTAAGAGCGATCTGAGCCATCAAAAAGTAGATAAGGATGAAGATCTTAGAATTTCGACATTAAAGATCGTCCAACTCCACAACGGAAACTTCTTTAGTTAGGAGCAGCAGAACTTACTTTGAGCATGAGATCGCTCCCAGTGATGTAACCGCTGCTCTGAAATCCAAATTTATTTGGGGGAAAAGATATCAGTTATCCAAAGAATCAATCACAGAGTCAAGTTATAGAAAATGTTTTAAGCAAGAAATCGAGCTCCAACCACTATCTTTTCGGCGGCTTCACAGATCTTATCAACTTTTGCTTCGGATAAACCTTTGATCCCCGTTAGACTCTGCGATTAGGTCAAAATGAAGCGATCAGCGAACAACGCTACTAGTATCATGACTCTTTTAGGTTTCAAAAACTATAGATTGACAAAGAACCTTCTTCGTATGCATCATCAGGCCATTGCAAGTATAGATCCCTGCATCCTGGAGCTTCTTGACGTCTCCAGCATTGATTCCTTGAGAAATCACTGCAGATCAAAGAGATTGGAATTTTTTTCAGGATGACAGATAGAAAAGCACCTGAAATTGAGAAGAAATTAGCTTTGAACTGAGATCAACTTCTAGTTAAGACAATTAACAGATCAAATGGATCTAAATTCGTCCGGGATCTGTTCACTAAGAAATACTCTGGATAGTCCCAAAAAAAGTGAGAGGAAATTCGAATCAAACATTGAACATCAAATTCAGGGAAAATTACAGAAATGATATTTGACAAGTCGATCGAACACCAATCAAGCTGACCTGATCTCAAAGAAATCATATCAAAACAAGAAGAAAAATGCAAAAGGAGCTCGAAATCTCTCAAATGCCTAGGGAGTTTGAGATCTTAGAACGATGTTCTGAAATTCGCTCAAAAACAGGAGAAATATCAAAGAAACAGCATGCTCTTTGATACCTGATCTCTATTGTATTCAATTCAACCACTAATAGATCTAAATTCTACGCCGATCTTAAATAAATCACACAAAAACAAGAAAAAAAGTAAAACGAAGTCAAAATCCCTCAACCGTCAAGGGATTTCAAAATCCTCTAACGATCTTCAAAAACTCACTCGACATCGAGATTAAACACCAAATCGAACTAAATTCTACTCGGATCTCAAATTAATCGCATCAAAACAAGTAAAAAAACGTAAAAGTAAGTCAAAATCTCTCAAAATTTTAATCTCTACCAGAGATTGCTAAATATTCAAACGATCTTCATAGATCCACTCCAAACAAGCGAGAACTATCCAGAATCGACTGTCAAAGAGGAAAACCGAGCAAAACTGTAGAGAAATCTTACATTTATCGATGGATTCGAAGCAATCCTCCTCGTAATCGGCGTCCTCTCGATCCAAGACCTGGAGCTGGAGCTGCTGCTGATCATCGTACCTCATCGCCATCGATCGCCAAAGAATAGAACGCAGATCGCAAGTTTTTTTCTGAAAATTTTCTATTCGCGCGCGCTAAAGCGAGACGGTAAATTTTCGAATTCTAAAAATTTTGATTGCGGGGTATTTATAGGCGCGGGCTCGATGCACGCGCTATTGAATCCAGTTAGTTAACTTTTGAGATCCGCTCGTAAAAGATCAGCCGTCTAGTTTAGCCGTCTGATTTGATCCAGTAACTATCATTTAATAGATCATTTAACTATTTCAGAAAATTCAAAAAAATATTAGTAATCCTTTATTAAACGAATCAAATTTGAGCTTTTATTGGTTCTCTTATTTACCAAATGTTTATTTTAAATTTGATCCATTATTCTTGTATTATTGCACGCATGGTGTTCTTATTGTCATCATCATCAAATCGTTTAGATTAATTTATATATTATCTTTGAGACTCTACATGTTCCAAACAGTCTTTGTAACCAACTATTAAAATTGTAAATATATACATCAGAATTATAAAGTAATAATTTTCATTCGTGAATTTAAATATTATTAAAAAATCAAATTGAAATTTACTTAGGCTGCGTTTGGGAACTTTGATTTGGATTTGGGAAGTTGATTTAAAATCAAGGGATTTTAAATTTAGGATTTGAAATCCATGATTTAAGAAATCTTTTGTTTGGATATCTTTATTAAATGAAAGGATTTGAAATCTTTGATTTCAAAATCTAATGTTTGGGTACTTTATTATACATGAATTTGAATTTAAAATTGATACAAATTTATTCTCTTAACTCATTTTGTTTATATCAAATGCAATGGAGATGTGTAAAATAGTAACCAAAAAACACAAATATAGATAATTTTGACGATGATAGCTACATTTGCTAAGTTTTCAAATTCATTGCCCACCATAACTTGCAAGAGTTTCAACAAAATAAAAATGAAGAAAACTCTAAAAACATATCAAGTATCTTAAAAAAAACATCTAAATAATACATTACCATTGCATATTTCACAGATATCCAAGCTGGAAAACACGTGAGGCTTGTTTCATATTTCATACATATTCAAAGTGAGAATAAGTTGATATCAGGGCAAATAAGTAACAATTTCATTATCTTCTCAAATGCATGTACAACTGACAATTACATAGTCAATTTGGTCTTTGATATACCAAGAGAAATGTTAATTAAAAAAATATAAAGAGTTGCAAACTGAATAGCATGTGAGAAGAGAAGTATCCTTGATGTAAAGAAATTACAACTGAGGATTCAGAAGTTCTTGTATGATAAACCCTATCTGCAGCAACAAAAGAGTAATTCATATGCCATCACGATATGAGCCCAGAACCTACAAAAAAAATAAGCAGATCAATAATTTTTTTTAATCAAGCTAACAAGCTAACAAATTAAACAAAAATGTCGGATAAGTGAGACTGAATAAGATAAGCATGTATACAAGTGATAAAAATAGCCAATGCTTTGAAGAGAAAATGAGCAGATCAATAATTTTTTTACCATTGAGTAGATCATCTTTCAAACGAGGGAAAAAAGCTGAACTTTTTACCGTTAACCTTTAGAATAACGTAGCCATGTGTTTGGTTCAAAATTTAGGAGGATACCAGTGGGACTATTTAGTCCTTTAAAACGAAATAGTCTCAAGCTTCTGCACTAAACAATGGGGGAAGATGGTGTTACATAGTCTGTGTACTATTTATTACTCACTTGGGATTAAATCTACAAGAAACTCCCTTGCTCTTTCCCCTAATTTTCTAAAATTACATTGAATATTCAATGTCTAATTATTTCACTTGGACGCTATGGCACTGGTTCCCGAGAATCAAGCTCTTTAGGTTCAACAAAGTAAATATTGATCAGTATGCACCTATCTTTACCCCTGCTATATTATTAAGCGTGCGTATCCATGCACTTCTGTCTCTTTAATATTTTGTTAATATATCAGCTTTGATATATAGTAGCTAACGGAATTTCTAAACAAGATGCCGGATGGAGTTAATTTGAAATGATAGTGGGATTGCATTAAGCTCTACTCCACCATATATTGGGAGTTTGTCAAATTGAAAACTTGTTACATCGTGGTTTTGCACTCTAATATAAGCATGTAAATGAAGCAAAAGGAACTTTTGATTTCCACACTATTAGAATATGAGTAAGAAATGCATTTAGAAACTAAATAAAAAGAAATGGAAGATATGCCAATGTTATTAGAGTATGAGTAAGAAATGCATTTAGAAATGCATCATAATCAAGTATACACTAAATAAAAAGAACAGAATTCTCAATAAAATGAAAATTTTGTACCTTTGAGATGAGACAAGCACTCCTTACTTGAATTAGCAAAGAATCCATCAAAATTGCTAAACCCTAATGCATTCATAAGAAATCATCAAAAAATTAGAAATATTCGGTTAAAAATATTGTTCAAATAACATTGAGATGAAGAAAAGTAGTATGAGAGGTGCACCCATTCTATCCGTACTTGCGAACATATAAATGAATGAACAAATAACTCTCTGTTGTGATTAACATATCCAAACCAAAGCAGAAATCACAGAGAACATAGATTTACAATGAAGATACAGGGATGCAAATGAATATGTCAAGACACTGGTCTCCACAAATAAGCACACACGCACACACTAACCCATTCACTTTCGCATGAATATATGTATGGTTACATGCCAGTTCACAATCATACAAGTGAAATACATGGATGTATGGATATATGTCGTGTCCACATGAATATATGCATGGATATATGCAGTTCACAATCATCTAAGTGCAAGATTATTTGCATACATTGAAAGGAAAAAATCATACCCTCCTATGCCTGATCAATAGATATGATTAATTGACATATTTTTAATCGTATAATTTTCAGAAATAATTATTTTACAAGAATTCCTAGGCGGGCATTTCAGAACGAATTTCTAATGATACAAGAAGATAATGCTAGAGAGCTACTCTCTATGTATAACAATCATCCTGATACATGCTAGGAGTCACAAGTGTACACACATGTGCATATGTACAAGTATGAATCCGTAATTGGTCGGCATATTTTCAAAAAAAGTGCTCTACTGTTACCATATGATGCAAATATATCAAGGATATCTGAAGATGCACATGCATAGTAATTCACATACAAAAGCTTTTGGTAATCACATCCATATAATACATATAGACGAATATATACTACCAGTTTTCACATTTTAAAATTTCAATCCTAGAACCACGTTTGCCTAACAAAACATGTAACCAGCACGATTCTGCACTTGCAAACTAGAGCTATGAATACCGTCGAATCATGCATCGAATCGTTGAGATCGGGTGTAGAATCAAACCTTGCAGGCGAGTTTATCCAGCGTGGACGAAGCTCAGGCGAGGTCGATGGCAGCTGCAGGCAAAGCTCTCGAGCGCAGGCGAACTTCTTGTAGGCGAGATCGACGCAGGCGAGCTCGTGGGCGAGTTTGAACGGACGAGCGCGAGTTCGAGCGAATCGTTGCAGGCGATTTCGTGGTCGACAATAGGCGAGTTGATCAGGCAAAGCTCGAGCAGGCAGATTCTTCGTGGCTGGTGACTTCTCGAACTGGCGAGATTAAAACTCGCCCGCAGACAAGTTTGGGCACCCCGCTCGGCTGGCGACAGCCTATCGCCAGACTGTCAGTGTGTTTCCCCCTATAAAAGGGAACCCGAAACCCTAGCTAGGGTGTGTGCTGAAGCTTTTCTCTCTCTCTCTCTCTCTCTCTCTCTCTCTCTCTCTCTCTCTCTCTCTCTCTCTCTCTCTCTCTTCGATTCCTGGCGGCGGCTCACTCCTCCCCTTTGTCGCGATTTATTCTCCAGGGCTCTCTCTCTCTCGTGATTTCAAAAGTGAAATCATTAAGGAAGAAATAGAAGAGGGGAGAAAGAAGTTAAGAGGGGTATTTAAGAAGTGATAGAATCTTACTGTAGCTACAGTAAAGATTGGAATTTATTGAGGAATCTCAGTTTGAGATTCGCTCTGAATTGTAATTTCTTGTTAAGATCAATAAGAAATTAATTGTGTGGTTCCCGAGGATGTAGATAGTTGCCGAACCTCGTTAAAACTTGGTGTACCTTTTTCTATTCTGCGTTTCTGTTGCATTAGGGATTTTGGCGTTAAATTCCCAACAACTGGTATCAGAGCGTGAAACGTTCTAGAGGAAGTCAGATTCAAGTGAGAGCCATGGCCGGAGATGAAGGAAAGCTGAGACTTGAGAAGTTTGATGGAACAGATTTCGGATTCTGGAAAATACAGATAGAGGATTATCTGTATCAGAAAAATCTGTATCAACCACTATTGGGGAAGAAGCCGGATGAGGCAAAAATGAGACTTGAGAAATTTGATGGAACAGATTTCGGATTCTGGAAAATGCAGATAGAGGATTATCTGTATCAGAAAAATCTGTATCAACCACTATTGGGGAAGAAGCCGGATTCTATGAAGGCAGATGAGTGGAGCCTTCTAGATAGACAAGCCCTCAGAGTTATCAGATTGACGTTGACTCGCAATGTTGCGTTCAACATAGCGAAGGAGAAGACCACGGCGGGTCTTATGGCAGCACTCTCAAACATGTATGAGAAGCCATCAGCCGCGAACAAAGTTCATTTGATGCGGCAGTTATTCAATCTGAGAATGGCGGAAGGCGCGTCAGTAGCACAACACCTCAATGAACTCAACACGGTCACAACCCAATTGAGTTCAGTTGGAATCGAGTTTGATGAGGAAGTTCGGGCGTTGATACTATTGTCTTCCCTACTAGAGAGTTGGAACGCTACAGTCACGGCAGTGAGTAGCTCGTCGGGAAACAAAAAGTTGAAGTTCGACGACGTTCGTGATTTGGTTCTCAGTGAGGAGATCCGACGGAGAGAGTCGGGTGAAACTACAACCTCCAGAGTCAAGAGGTAGAAATTCAACCAGAGGAAACGAACGAGGAAAAACAAACTTCAGAGGTAGATCAAAGGACAGGAGGTCCAAATCAAGGAATCCAAGCAACAGCTCGAAGGCTATCGAGTGTTGGAATTGTGGAAAGACCGGGCATTACAAGAATCAGTGCAAGAGTGCAC